AGGCTGGCTGATACTGGGAGTCGCATCTATAGTTGCATCTATGGTCGGTGGTCGCATGACAGCTCCTCTCGGAAAGCCAGTCTCCTTTTTTGCGCGTGAAGGGGTGCTGAAGGGGATCGGCGCTCGGCCCTCTGGAGGGCGCTTGGCTCAGAATCCATCCGGATTTGAAGAGTGATTGACCTCAACGGCTCGACAGGGGAGAGAGTCTCAAAGACCCATTGGCGCCCGGTGCCGAGGTTCTTCATTTGGACCAGTGGTAAGAAGTGGTTCTTCCGAATCGACCAGGGTTTGCATGTGGATCACCTTCACTGGTGCTTGAACTCACGCCCAGTGATCGATCATCCACCAGTGATCACTGTCGGCGCGCCCCGTTCGTTGCGTCGCATCCGGTGAATCCATGAAGCGGCGCGGTCGGGCGTCGTTTCCATGTGCGGAGGTGGCTGAAGGGAAGTCGGAGCCTTGGAACATGGGGACAATTTGGAGCCTGAGACAAGAACACTCAAGTATTTCTAAGGCCATACCATGGTAGTTTCAGGGCCCTTTCGCTTCATTTGATATCTTGTTTGTGGGACTTTCCTACACAAATATTGGAAGACTTGAAGACCACCTATTTCCTGCTTGTCTCAAAGGTCTTGGGTCTAGCAGGTCTAACAGGTAGCAGCAAGAGGTCTGCCCCCCTGAAAGGTGAGAGGGTGGAAATTGGCTTATGGACATCCTGGACAAGTCTCTGAGGTGGCGTACACCGCCCTCAAATGCCTACCCCGTGCCAAAAGCGCCCTCCGATGAAAGAGAAAAGTCCAGAAAGGACGCGTAACTCTACCTTTTCTTAGTAACTCTACCAAGGAGTTTTCTGTAGACAGATCCATGTTCCTCAGAGTCCCTACTTTTGGCCTCCCTTTCTTGACCCTCCAAGTCCTCAACCAGTCTCAATCAGAGCTGGTTCTGGGTCAAAACCTGGACTCCTCGCCGTGGCTCTGGCTCTACCGTGTTCCACCACCAATCTGGCTCGTCCGCACAGTGCTGAGGTACCGCATGGTCCGCAAGATGCTCTACAACTGTGGACATGAGGTGTACGGAGCCCAGGTGGCTAGCAGGGACTTGGATGAAGAGGGAATGGCTTGGGTGGGACGGATGGGGTTTTTATGCAGGTACTTGCATCAGTTCAACCCACACCTTCAAACGCCAAAGCTCGCCACAGCTCTGCGGATGCGAAGTGGGGTGCAAGGTATTTGACCCGCTCGCTCATGTGTCCTTTCCTCTCCCCCCTCCCTCCCTCCCTCCCTTTCCTTTCTTCCCTGGCCCTTGCCCTTTCGTCGAACAGCTCCGTTGAAAAGACTGAGACTCGTCTTGATGAAGCGCACGGATTGTTTTGGCTGAAACTTCTGGCATCTCTAGCTTTTTGCCAGGCTTTTGCACTTAAAGATAAGGGATAGGCCAGCATTCTATGCAGGGAGTCACAGATGCAATCAAGACACGTCGCCATGCACAGATGAAATCATGGATACGTATTAAAGTGAGAGGCCAGAACTTGCCTATAAACGAAAGGGTCCGTGCATAGAAAACGAATCTCTTCGGTTTGATGTATGAAGATACTCTCAGTCCAAGGCTGGAGTTACATCGGCTCAGCTATGGAGCGCTTGAGTTGGGTGACCTGGAGGCCGCTGCGGCGGTGACTGGCATACCTGCATTTGGTTTCAAGTCTTCTGAGAATGCCAGGAACCGCTTTGCCCAGAACCGCCCAGTTCCGAGATCATTTGATGAAGTTGGAGACTCACCATGAAAGACGGTGCGACCATGCCCACGGGCCCACGACGGTGTCGTCCCCACCATGGCAGTGGACTGCACATGACTGCTAGGCAGTGGACTTAGGAGGTTCTGGATTACAACACCGTTCAAACGCTCCAGTACTCATAGCCATAGCCCTTTCCTAGTGTGTGGCCGCCCCCATATCGAAAAGTCTCCCAAGGCTATTTTTCACTGACTTGATATCCTGTGCTAGCTGCTGGATGCACAATGCAGATTTAGCTATTCTTTGTGGCCAACAGCAGGAGCTGAAAAAACGTACAATCCTGAAGCACACGCTTGTTTGATGTACATGACCCACAAGTGTCGAGGTAACACAGCTCCTGTATTCGACCCCAAAACTTCTATATGTGTTGTTGATCAGTACCTTCCATGGTTGGAAGGTTGTTGCATCCAGCCAGCGAGTTTATAGATGTCCCCATCGCCAGGCAGGCCGCATGTGCTGCATCACAGCCGAAGAGGTGCTTCATCACGGTCGGCAGATGAGCATCCGAGATGCTGACGATAAAATTGGGAGACTGTTTTGAAAGCTGGAGCCTCTCAGTGTGCACCATATGCACCACCACTGTCCCATCCACAGCCATTCCACCGCCAGGAGGCTTGGGCACAAGACCTTGTGTCAAGCAGACGGCCAGAAATGATCTCTTGTCTGCGTGGGGGGGAAGGGTGGGTCGATATAAAGTCAAACACCCGAAGTAGTGTATCATGTAGGACCTTGGAGGTTGCCGGCACTCAAGAATTCCAAAGGCGCCCTTAGCCTCCAGCACGCAGCTACCTCCAATAATCGATCGTGCGTTTTCAGAAAGTTTTGATGGATACTTGTAGGGGCAGAGAACACCTGAAAGCACTACAGTCGGTTGAGGACGTGGTACCGATTTGTAGGACGAGAGCCAAATTCGCGCCAATTTCAGAAGCGACTTGCCCAAGACTTGACCCAACAATGCAGGTAGAGTGTGAAGCTGCAGTTCGGGCTATAATATCTTTCACTGACTGAATACCTAGTAGGGAATGGGGGAATGCATCCAAAGGAATCTCGGAATCTCTATTGGGTGTGTTTCTTTCTTTTTTTTCCTACTAGGCGTCAGTTGAGTATTCTTTGTATTTCTAAGGCTTAGGTTCTCCGTTTGGAATTAGCATCGCTTCAGAAGTACGTGAACGAGTTCGAGCTCCAACAGACCCCACTTCACCACAAACGGGGAACTTGGCCGACCTCGCGCGTCGTCCGACCGCCGAATGAGCTCAAAAGGGCTCCCCTTTTTTTTAACACCCCAACCTCTTTTTTTTAACCCACCACTTTTTTTTAACCCCCCAACCCTTTTTTGTAACCCCCTTCAAAACAATTGTTTTTAACCCTTCAGACCTTTTCTTTTTAACCCCCCCGACCTTTTTTTTAACCCCCGGACCCTTTTTTTCTCACCCCCGAGCACTTTTTTCTAACCCCCAACCTTTCTTTTTTAACCCCTGACCTTGCTTTTTTAACCCTTGACCCTTGCCTGCGAGTGCCTATGCCCCTCGGACCACTTACACAGCGCCCACCCAGCACGCTGCGCCAGCCCACTTGCCGTGATGACGCGGGGGTGACACGCTGTTGCGCGGCTCGGCTCCATAGCGGCAGCGCGCCTGTAGACACCTACCCCTCCGAAACTGGAAGACTTGCCTTGTCTCACCCAGATTTGTCATCTTGTGCTGGACGACACCTCCGTCCACTAACCTTTTCTGTATGCATGGGGGCGACGCCTGCGCGCGTGTTGAACAGCAACAACAACAACAGCAAGAACAACAAGAAATCCAACTTTTCTTTCTTTCACACGCACTCGGATGAGAAGCGCCGCCCTGCGGCCATAGGCCGGACTCCTGTTGGAGATCGCTTCTGTATTGAGGCATGGGCATGGATGGAGGTAATCAGCCGTTCCAAGCGGCTGCGAGTACCCTCAACATCCAAAAGGTCTAAGGTGGAGGAAAGCTCGGTCAAAATCAACAGTGTTGAGGCCAAGCATCAAAAAGGTCAATCGGTGAAGTGAGTGACATTCACCCTTCATCAAAACTAAGGAGGGCCGAACAAAAAAAGCAAGTCCGCTCTCACTTGGCCGTCTGCCATCTATCAGCATCATCTCATCAGCTGCCCCAGCGGCCGAAGGCTGCCCAGCGCATTGCAGCGGCAGGCGCAACCATCAGCAGCAGGTGGAAAAGCTTAAGAAATCCAACAACAAATCCAACAACAACAACAACAACAACACCAGCAGCAGCAGCAGCAACAACAAATCCAACAACAACAACAACAAGCGAAGCAAGTACCTTTGCTTGACTTTGAAGGGAGGCGCTGCGCCCTCCCCCCGAGCCCCCCTCCAGCTTTCTTTGTTTTCAAACAGTCCGCACGTCTTCGTCAAGCGGAGTGACTTGCCTTGTCTCACCTAGATTTGTCTTCTTGTGCTGGACGACACCTCACAACAAACCCAACAACAACAACAGCAGCAGCAGCAGCAACAACAAATCCAAAAACAACAAGCGAAGCAAGTACCTTTGCTTGACTTCGGGGGGGGCGCTGCGCCCTCCCCCCGAGCCCTCCTCCGGCTTTCTTTGTTTTCAAGCAGTCCCCCTGACGCCTGCACACGTGTTGAACAGCAACAAAAACATCAACAACATCAACAGCAACAACAAATCCAACGACAACAACAACAACACCAGCAGCGCGCTGCGCCCCCCCCCGAGCCCCCCAACAACAACAACAACAACAACAACAACCACAACCACAACCACAACCACAACCACAACCACAACCACAACCACAACGACAACGACAACGACAACGACGACCACAGCAACCACAACGACAACGAGAACGAAAACGACAACCCCCCCTCCAGCTCTCAAAAAATAAGGGCCGGGTGTCCAACAGAGGTTGGAGGTTAAAAAAGAAAGGTCGGGGGATGTCGAGGGTTTAGAAAAGCAAGGTTGGGGGGTTAAAAAAGAGAGGTTGGGGGGTTAAAAAAGAGAGGTTGGGGCTAGAAAAAAGAGGTTGGGGGTTAAAAAACAGGGTCGGGGGGTTGAAAAAAAGGGTGGAGGTTAAAAAAAAGAGGTTGGGGGGTTAAAAAAAAGGGTTCCCCAGCTCAAAACTCAACAGCTTAAAGGAGAGGTCTGTACCTCATTGCTTCGAGTACTATTGGAATGACACAGGGTCTGTACGAAGCTTGGGAGAGGTCTGTATTAGCTTCCTTGCAACAACCATTGCCTTACCTTCCCCATCGCTTGAGATTGGAGGTTGCCAAACCCTTCAGCAAAGTGGAAACACAGGACATGGTGTTCTTGTTTCGTTTTCCGTCACCCGACCCACAACTCGAACCCTGAGGCCCCGAAGTCTCCAAAAAGCCCGGACTCACCGCTTTTAGCACATGACTGGGTCTTCGGATGGGAGGGTTTTTGCTGTCTTCTTGCGTCGTCATTGGAGAACACAGGCGTCGTCTTCTGTCTCAAACCTCCCATCTTTTGGATTCACCTCCAGCACCGCAAATGCGGGTAGATCGTTTCCTGGAAGCTACAAGCAGACTGCATTTTTCCGCCGCGTCCCGCGTGGACTGCAGATGAATGCAGGTGGGACGGTGGGGGTTTGCTGTGAGGTGGTAAGATCCACACAGTCCCTGGAATCATCCCCTTCCCCTCTCCTTAATGCTTTCACTCCATAGGCTTGAGGTGACAGACGAGGTTCATCACACTCGTGTGCTTGGTTGGCAGCATGCCCAATTTCAATTACTGTATCTAAGATCTCCACTTCAGAAGTGTCTCTACCAGTCTCCTTGAGGGGGCGACAGTGTGACATTCCTTTTTGCATTTCACGTTTGTCGCCTTCACCCACCTACGAGGTCATGTCTCCTCACCACTGTTGATCATTCTGCCGGGCGGCAGTGGTGGGGGGCCGCCAGAAGATCCGGGTCGGGTGAGGTTCTTGGGGAGAAATTCAGTCGTTCTGAGTTCTGAACATGATTAAACAGTAGCAGTAGCACCCTTGAAATGGATAGTGAAGACGTAGCTGGCATGGACATTGGTGACACGGAGGAACGAACCCCACAGTAAGTGGTGGGACAAGGAATTCCGATCCCCAAGAGTCTTTTTTTGGGAGATGTTGTATGTTTTAAACGTTTGTTTCTGAACACATAGGCTCATCGGCACCCATAAGCCCATAAGCCCCTTTGCACTTGCATGGATTGTCTTGCTACCAATGACAGAATGTAGAGACATCTGATAGGCTCCTCCTGGTTCCGACACCGGGCCTGTCGGGCCTGCCGGGTGGTTCTTTGTTCTCCACGGGCCTGTCGGGGCCCGAAAGAGCCTGGGTGCCTATCGCTGGGTGCCACCGGTAGATGGAACTGCTCACGAGCAGATCGACATCAAACACCCAAGGCCCAACGTCCTGAGGATCAGAAAGCACCCCATGGACGGCTGACTATGTGGTTGACCTGGGAACATGGGGAACATGAATCTAGAGGTGTCCGCCACACTTTTGTTGAATCAACTTCTGGGGTTGTAAGGGGCAAAGAGGACAGCATGAGAAATACCCAAGTCAATTAGATTTTCTACACACAGTTCTTGCAAATGGTTTGGCTTCGTTTGGTGACATGACGCTGATTGATCAGTTGACAGCTGCCTGGGGGGGCCACTCTGAACAATCTCGAGTTGCGGGGTGTTTTTCGACAGACTCCTGCACCACCTGAAATCCTGCAAAAACATGGTACTTGCGCCATCTTGGGTAAATCCGGTTCGGATTTCTTTCCACCGTCCAAATCCTCGGCTGTTCGGCTTTGGTCACTCAACTGACTTGCCTGCGCATTCATGGACCCCCCTCGGTGGCATGACGTGAGGTGAACCAAAAGGGTTCATGGAGCTTTCCTTTCTCTTGGAAGCAAATACCGGTGAAGACGATCCTCAAAGGGAGACTCAGAAAAAGATCCCACCAGAGTTCCTGCCGTGAAAGCTCGAAAGCAACAGAGTTTCTTGAAGTTTAAATGTCAATTCGAAATGTCAATTCCCTTGATGGAGTTCCATTCATTTGATCAACATCCAGCAGTCTCCAACATTATTTGGCTTTCTTTCCAAAGACTTATCACTTCTACCAGCTGTAAACTCCAACCAAACGAGTCCAGCCCTCCAAACCCCGAGACGACGGTGAGTTTTTTCCGAAAAAGCCATCCAGGCCGCGAGGCGGTGCTACGCCGCATCCTAGCCACGCTCGACCGGCCGGTGGCCGTGCTGGTACCACGGAGGTGTGCTTCGGTGTGGGCGTTTGAGAGGGTGGAGAGCTTGGTGCCTTCCTTTTGGCTTTGGAAGGGTTTCTAGCCAGTCAGGGCCGTTCAACAGTTTCTGGCCAGTCAGAGCAGTTTGTTTTTGTTTTCTCCAGTTTTGCATTGCATGGAGGATTACGGCCATGTTCCCGTGGCACTTGTTCTGCACTGACCTGCTCCTTATATAGCCTAGTGCCAACGAAGCCGCGGCGAACGTGACGACCTCGGCCCCTCCACCAGTGACCGCTGGCGCTCCACCGGTGACCGCTTTCCTGCTTTCACCGGTGGACTGGACTGGAGCGCGTGGACAGAAGAGCAAGGACGAACGCCTCCTGTGGTCAGGAAGAGACAAAAGGCTCCTATATAGTATTTGGTGCGGTCTTGGAGTTTTAGGCTCCTTTTTTCGGGTGTGGGCAGTATTTGGGGTGCTGACGAAGAGTCGGGAGAAGTTTTGCTGGAGTTTTAACTAGCGAACACCAGCCCTCACGGAAGCATTCAATCGCCTCACCCGGATTACAAGAATTCAGGCTCCCTGAAGTCTTGGGATTCATACAACTTTAGGACTCCAGGCCCAGGCCCTGAAAAGCATCATCGACCATCCAACGCCCTCAACACCTTCAACCGATCCATCTTTGCCGCGATCGACCCCTTCGACGTCCCAGCGCGTGGCCCCAGGCTTCAGGAGGCCTCGGCCTGGGCCAAGCCTTTGTGCTCGGCATGGATCGAGTGTGAGCGCCTGGGGGCCCGGCCTGGGAAGGAGGTGGAGGGGGTCGGACTGGGCGCCATTTTGCGGCCACTTCTGTTCTTCACTCGCGCCGTGTTTCGACTTCTCTTTGATTATACAGTCCAAAAATCATAACAGCCCAAGGGCCTGTGGAGAAGCTTTCGTGAGATCTAATGATGCCTTTCTTCGATTCATGGGACGCCCTCCAAGCCATACCTTGTTGCATTTCTTCTTGGACCCTTCTTACCTAACTCTGCTTGCACATCGAACGTACCCAACTAGCCATGGATGGAAGTCGCACCCACGCACCCACGGTAGCCACGGTCAACACAGACACGATGCGACTGGAAAACGTGTGGAGGTGAACCCAGTGTTCTCCTACACTCAGCAGTGCAACGTTGAAGTCTGTAACACGTGGTCTGTAACACGGTGATTGGAGTATTTCTGTTTTTTGATTTTCTCAGGCACAGGGTGATGGGACTTTGCTAAGGCTGCTAAGGCACACTGGTATTTGTCTAGTTTTCTCTGGTTCTGCTAAAAACTTAAAGCACAGGGTGATGGGTCTTTTCTTCGAAGTGCTTGGAGTCCAGCGACGCCACCCTCTGCACCGACCCATGGCACGGTCTGCACGGTCTGCACGGTCTCGGTTGTCCTCTGGTCGATAGCACGAAGGTCTCCCCCGTTGTTTCGAGTCCGAAGACCCGTGAACTGGAGCAGGTTTAGATCCAGAAGAGGCCTGGACGGCTTGGAGCTTAGGAACTGCTGAAGATGCTTTCAACCAATCATTGACAGCCATGATGTGGGTGATCAATGGGTGAAGAGGTTCTTTGCGTCCATTCAGCATTGGTGCCGAACTGTTCGGCTGCTAGAAGACTTGGTGCCAAGACTTGGTCATCTTATGAGGATCAAATATACAGAGATTCTTTCTCACCAGCCTCAGGGATTCTTCTCACCAGCCTTTGTGACCGATATAGATGGAGAAAGTTTGGGGAAGCTCTGCCAAATTTACTGCTGTACAAGCCCCTGTTCTGGTATGCACTGGTCGTTTGGCACAATCAGACGGTTTCTATTACCCCAGCAGGGCGTCCCATTTCAGGTGTCCCAGGCCCGGCCCAGCTGGCGCAGCTGTGCAGTTGTTGAGCTGCACGCCTACGGGGAACCAAACCCAGTCCCTGTCCCCCGAGCGAAACAGGATCGATGATTCGACTTTTTGTCGTCCCTACAAATCTAGGAGCCAAATGAATAGTGCGAGCGCTTTTTCAAGGAAGCCCCCCCCCGCCCTCAGGCGGGGGGAGCTTCCTGGGAGAAGCGTGAGCTATCCTGCGTCCATGCTAGTAGCTTAAACTAAGCTACTAGCTACCTCAGTTCCTTACTGAATTATATAAGTAGGTGCCTACTTAATTAAGTAGGGACGGGGAGTGGGCTAAAAAAGTGCATCCGAGTCCAACGCAGAAACTGCATTCTCGCGAGTTTTCGAAGCACTCTTCGAGCCTGTCTCCAAGTCGGTTCACCGTGGTTTTCTCCACCTCCCAGGCCGTGTCCGAATGGATGGCCAGGACTCGCCAGCGGGTGGCAGGCGAACCAAACACAGAAGACACGCACGGTCACCAGCGATCTCGGACGGATCTCTTGTGCCGCGAGTCCGCACTGCCATCTTCCCGAACATCATGCTCCGTTCGTAGCGTCCGATCGCTCCGATTCATAGATGCCAGGAGCCCCGTTCGTAGCGTCCGATCGCTCCGTTTGTAGAAATGCCCTTTGCTCCGTTCGTAGCGTCCTTGTTCCGGAATATCGACTCGAAGGGCAACTCGACCACCTTGGACCACCAAAAAGGAAGCTGCTTGTCCAATCTGATTTGGTGGACCGAGCCAGTCTTTTTGGACTTGCAGGAGCCATTCTGGAGCAGTTTTTTGGGAGCGGATGTCCTGGATTTTTGAATCCGTGTGTCTTTCGATAGAAACTGTTAGAGTTTGCTGGTCGAAGGCAGACTCCATGTTTTTTCTTTTTTTGCGAAGCACGGGTTCAGACGAAACAGTCAAACCATATTTGATCATATTTGTATAGTGAACATCCACTGGCAACAGGGTCTGGACCAACATGCATTTTCTGGTCCAGCCTGTGTTTCGGACAGCTTTGAAGCAAGACATTTCTTCGTGCGAGACGCAGGTTGTACCACTTGGGACGAGTGGGGGATTGACGCTGAGATGCATCTAGACGCATCCGGCTTGTACGATATCCATCTTGTTCCCAAGATGACTCACGCAAATAGCGACGGCCTCCAACTTAGAAGGCTTTGGATTGTAGGATGGGAGTCGTGTCCTGTATTCAACTTGCGCTCAGAGGACTTGAGTTCAACATTCCTCTGTGGATCAGGCGGATGTTTTTATAAAGCCACTCGCAAATTCCCAACTTGGAGATTGGCACAGTTGAATCCCGAGCGATGGACTGTCTGAAGTCTTTAATTGGGGCTATAATATGTTATTTAGAATAGGAGGTATAATTATAGATTATATATATTATATTATGAGAGAATGCATACATAGGTGATATGCTATGTATAGTACGCATTTTAGTCAAAGGTGTCACCGAGTGGTTTGTGCACTAGTGGAGGTCAACTCTATTGCTGAAACACAGTTCTTTCTTAAAACCTAAACGGATATCTCTATGTCTGAAACAGCAGGTCTTAAATGCATACACCCCATGCTGAAAATGCAAAAAACATAGACCAATGTTTTTTGCAAAAACAAGCTGGGGAAGCCTACTCTATTTTTGGCGGTCTAGCTCAGTGGATTTTGGAACATGTGGCTAAGTCTAAGTCTGTCTTCTGGTAGGCAAGATCCGACGTCAGACTTCAGCGGAACCATGCTGGCATGGTGCAGGCCATGAGGTGGTGACGGAGAAAGTTAGGCAGCATGTGTGGAGAAGAGCCCACATGTCACTTTCGTTCTTCGATGCTTTCACAGCAGACCGAACTGTCAGGGTCAATTCTATCAAGTGATGGAGGGTGCGCTGAGAGTGTTGAAGGTGAAGGTGGTGGAGAAAATGCCGCAGCTGTGGAAGGTGGAGAGTAGGGGTCGTTGAAGCTGTGATGAGTTTTGTTTTGATTGCTATGTAGAGCAGAACGATGCCGGTGATGCTGAGATGGGAGAGGGTGGTCATTCTGAGCTTGAAGTTCATGATGGAGTTGTAGAGGAGGTGCGCTGGCAGACTGTCCTCCATCCTGCTTGCTTATGTGGCAAGTTGGAGGTCGATGTGGGATGAGAGATGGTGTAGCTCAGCTCCACAAGCTGACCCAGCCACCAAACGTCAAGCGTTTGCATTCTTGGGCGCCTCAAATCGGTGGTTCGGGTCACAATGTGATTGGAAAGCCGGTGTGAAGGTCCTTAAGCCGAAGCCCTGACAAATTTCTGGACGCACCACCATGAAGTCAAACAAAACACAAACCAAAAAGCTGCAACCAGCTTTTTCTGTGTCATCACGCCTGTTCAAGCGCTCTGGTGTTTGCAGGTTCTGGGCCAGCCGGGTGAACGCCCGAACCGCTTAGCGCTTCCCTTCCTGAAGCTGCCTGTCTGAACGAGTGTTTCTACTACGGGCACCAGGCCATGCGCTGCGTCATCGGTAGATGGGTGTGAACGGTCGCCGCAGCACAACAAATCTGAGACAAATGGATTCAACGCCATTCTGGACACACAAGAGCCAGGCTGCAAAGTGGGGCCATACAGGAGAACCAGACAGGTTCAATTGTGATTCAATAAAAGAAAATCAAGCCAGCCAGAGAGCTTTCAGCAGAGAGCACTCGCGCACAAACCGCATTTTAGTCCGGAACTATCTTCCATCCAGCGCACGACGAAAGCGCAATGGTGACCCAATAGGTTTGACCTTTGACGCTGTGAACTAAGAAAAGGGATGAAAAAGGGCGCATGTCTACGTTGGTGGCTTTGCTTTCCTGAGAAATGCCCGCAATTCAGGAAGCTGATGCGCCAGAGCTATCAGCGAAATCTTCTCCAGCGCCGCCGGTCTTACCGGACAATTCTGGCAAATTCCACGCAGCGCGCGTGGCTGAGAAAGGGCTTGCTTTGTTCTTAGGCTTCACAGTATATAATGCCGAACAGTGTGGCAATGGAATGTATAGCTGTGATGCCAGTGATAGCGTATGCTTGCCAGGAAAGAATACCAGAGAAGGTTGTGGAGATCTTGGCCTCAACCCGTTTGCTTTCGCGGCCCTGCAGATGCAATTTCCCCCACATTGCCGGAATTCTTGAAGCAGTTCCAATTTGCTCAAGAGCATCTCAGTTGAAAGTTGCTCTTATTTGTTTTATGAAGCTGAGGCTTCTCAGGGGGCGGTATAAGATGTATTGCCTGCAAGGCCCCAGCCGGGCGGCTGAAACTTCTTGTGAAGAACTTGTTCCAGTCGCCGCTTGTGCTGACTGTGGAGAACACTGCCACATTAAACTTGTGTGAGTTCAAGTAACGCCTTGAAGCTTGGCGTTGGTAGGTCCTCTGTGTTCACTATGTCTAGACGCTGTTGTGGTTTTCCACCCTGAATCCTTTGCAGCCACGCGTCTGAGGATCCTAGGCAAGGTGAATGACTTGCAGCTTATTTTTGATTACCGGGCAGTTTTGCAAGCAAAGACAGACACACGTCGGCTGGGCAACAGTTCTACTGGTATGTGCTTTTTCGGTCTATCTCTTACCAAGCTTTAGAGCGACTGGCTTGGGAGAATGCTTGTTTCAACACATGTTAGGGGAGAATCAATGGAGGATTGCCCGAGGATTTGGATGTCGACAGCAAGAAGACACTCTCATCATCTGCGTGGTTGCCGGCAAATTTGCTTTCGGATGTGTTAGACCCTGGAGACACATGGTGAGCGGGCGCATGTCTTGAAAGATTTGCCTAAGCTGCGAATGGCAGAGTGATTGGTGACGATGTTTCACAATCAGCGACAGCTGTGAAAGGCTAGGGCAAAACAGAATAGGACGCGGTGCGATTGGCTTTGCGATTTTCGACATTCCTTCTTAGTTTGAGCAGAAGCCAGTGTATAATACAAATGCACCAAGCACCCCGTGACACCATTGAGTGGAAACGGTATTATTGTGCATTTTGCTTCACTTGTCGCTGCAGACATATCCAGGTGCAGACATGTCAAGATGCCACCGTTTTAAGTTTGCAAGCCAGGAGTGCACGGACAGTCTAGAAGCCTAGAATGGCACTCACGGCTATTATAGAGTTTGAAGTATATATATATATAGAAGTACACAAACCACTTCTTGGTGCCACTTCTTGGGGTGGGAACTTTGTGGGGTCATGGAAGATCCTCGTCCTCCTTTGCTTGCGCCAGCCGCGCCGCTGGCAGAGACAGATCTGTCAAATGTGGAGGCCAGCCACACTTCTAAGCTAGACATAGCCACTTGAGAGCTTGGACAAAGGAAGGGGCATTTCACAGAGTGTCACAGAGTTGGCTGGTTGTAAGGTTTTCAACCATGACTTGTGCGTGGGGTGAGGGCAACATCTGAGTCATGCCACCAAAAAATGCCCTGGGCAAATCACGTGAGGAGCTCATGTCAGCCCATCTTGCAGGCTGCATCTTCGAAAGATAGCTCAGAGCAGCCAGGCACGAGCGTTGAGGGTTTCGTCAGGGGGGGGCTAACTCTACGTGCTTCATTTGCTTGACAGGGATAACTCTACGCGCCTTCGCTTTTTGGAGCAAGCAAAATAGTCGCATTCCTAAATTTCAGTAGAAGATAGTCCTCAAACACAGCATTTTGTGGCAGGTTGGCTGACAGGTGGACAAGCAGCTGGCAACTCTCAGCAAGCTCCTCAAGAAACCCATCCCGTGTACATTGTCTTCTGGCGCAGGAAGCAGAAAGCGGCGACCGACAGATGCATGGCCAAGAATACCAAGATCGAAGGCGGGGAGATCCTCACTACCAACAAGAAGGTGAAAGTCAACACCTTGAAGCTGATGTTTGTTCCGCTGGAAGATCTCAAGGCGAATGGTGGGGGCCAGTTCACGCTTGACGGTGTTTGCTGCTTGGCACAGGCACAGGTTGCTTCACCTCCAGAGGGGTCTTTAGTGCGTCTGGTTTCGTACTCTGATGTTTGAAGAGCAAGAGCTTGAGGAGTCTGGACGGGAGAGGAGTGAGAATGGGAAGATGTTTGTCGTCAGCAAGAAGACTTCGCGGACATACTTCCCAATGTTGCACACTGCGGTCTTGGAGTCCGGAGCCTGGTCTGCGCACTACCCTCAGACACGGCTGCAAGCGGCTGGGTCAACGCGCCCAGGAAACATAGAGCTATCCAGTTGGGACAACCGGAAGTCATGGAGTAAGAGTACGATCAAATATTTAAAGCTTTGGCCGCCTGGGATGATATAGTAGCGACAATTAGATGATTGTAGTACACTTAGATATGAGTACAACGGTCCACAATACAGTTAGCCAGTTTTTGGGTGTGGACAACTTTATTGCTGATCAATAGTTGTGAAAAACGCAAATTTGGCTAGCTCTAAAATGCGAACTATATATGAGTTTTTTTTTTGGGGGTGGGTGACCAACATCCTTGCATCCACCTTCACAATGTTTTGTCGAATCAGTGCGACGCGCTAAAAGTTGGATGCAGAAGAAAGTGATTATGAACATGCAAGCCGAAAGGAGTCTTGAAAAAGTAGGGTTTTTGTTCGACCTATTTTTTGAAATTCTGTTTTGTTCACTTGTCACGCTTGCTTGTTTCTGTACCTTGCTATGCGCGTCTGAGGAGATCTGTGCCTACCTGTGTGCTGCGGAGCGCTTGAATCTACCATACACGCCCTTGGCCACCGTACGACAGGTGATGGGGTGACAAGTTGTGCGGTTCAACTTCGAGTGGATGTGCAGGGCCTTCTGTTTGGGGGTGTCGATTAATAGTTTCTTTCCGGCGAAGGGGTGTCCATTCACCACCCCGAAAACCCGTGGGTCCTGGTACATGATTCCAACCATCATCTTGTGGTTCCCGAGGATCAGTCTTCTCCAGCCCGGCGTTTGTTCTTACAGATTGGAGACCCATACAGCTGCAACATCAGGTTCCCATCCCGGTCTGGGCCAAGATTTGACACCCAGTTTGATGGGGCAGTGTGGGGGGTCTTTGATTTGATTCACATCCATCTGAATCCTCTCGAAACTCTCAGTTCTACCGTAGCAACTGCGGACACATTTGATCATTGGGACTACCCTCTTTTTTGTTTTGTGTATTGGATCTCCCAGCTAGCCCGCTGGTCAATTGAACATTGAATGCTTGTTGATCTTGCTTCATGAGAGAACCTCAACTCAGACAGTAAGAGATCTGAACACCTAGACCCAAATCATGCATCTCCTCATCGATTTCGATCAGAACATTCCGTTGAGGTCGATTTCGCCCAAGGTCGCATGGGGTCTTGGGAGGTGACTCTTTGGTGCCACTGCACCCTCCGCAGGTGCGCAACAAGGTCCGCTTCAGAGAGGCCTGTGGCAAGGCAGGAGTGGAGGAGCAGAAATCGAAGAACGAGTAGGAGTGACACCCATAGTGATATGGCATAGACTGGAGGGAACAAAAACGCAAGGAACTGGCGAGATGGGGGCAACCCTCGATTTGGGCCGTGCCCCGCTCAGGTTGAACAGGTACTCATGTGGTTTTCCATGCATACAGTTTACAAGATCATGGTCGTCTTGGTGAAAAGGTGCATTTGGGCTAGTTTTGACCTGGACCCTGCAGCCAAAGCATGAGTCAAATCTCGCCCATCTCATCCTGCTTTCAGAGGCCGGCGTGCCCACTCCCCGCTTTGCCAATGCCCACACGGAGGACTTGCGTGAAAGTTCGCGAGAAGTGCGTGTTGGGTGAGGATTTGCCTAGCTTCCATAGGGCCGTGTCTCAACATCAGCGGGTGCTTCCCCAAATAGTCCATTCTCCTTTGACCAGAGCCACATCCTTTAGCAGAACATCCATAGATTCAGCAAAGATGTTGCATGAGTTCCATGCCATCCATCGCCTCTCTCATTGTTTCTCTCCATGCCTTGTTTGGCAGCCAAGTCCGTGGCAACTCCACCAGTTCCAATGTCCGGTCTGCCGACTTGGGGATGGCCGGCGTCGCTATCCTCTGTCGACACCAGGATGAGCTCCTGCGGGTTCTGGAGAAGGACTGGAGCTATCCTCTGATCTTGAAGCCCGCGCGAGGCCGAGTCCGAACGCGGGCCGAAACTGACACGGGTTGGGTTGGAGTGTTTGGGTGACACGGGTTGGGTTGGGTCACACGGTCGTTTGGGTCGTAGAAGGTCCTTGGGATGCAGGAATGCCAGTGAAACTGTTGTGGTCTGGGAGGAGAATATCCAATATCTTCATTTCTTTGTGACACAGGAAGTGCAAGTTTCAGCTCAGCCGAGGAAGGTGTAGAACACACACGATCAGGTGTTTAAGCACGTGATGTGTTTTGGTGAACATTTAAATTATGTTTAAAGAACATGAGCGGTTCCAAACTGTTTAAGAACATGTTTAAATTAGTTTATCAGTTTCATTTTCATGTTGAACTGATGTCTTTTTGCTCGAACCGTTTGGATGTCCAGTGTGCAAAGATTGCCTAGAAGGATCTGAAGGACAGGACAGAAGCCGTGTTGCGGAGCCTTGTTCCCTTGTCCTTCAAGGCAAACTCGCGTCCCTGCGAAGTCCTCGAAGAGGGTGGGACCGAGGCACTAACCCTTGAAGCAAGAAACTCACAGAAAACCGGGTTGAGTAGTCGCTCCCAGGCTCCCCAGTTTTTTGTTTTTGAGTTGCTTCCTTTGGCCGAAAGTGCGGTGTAGTGAGGTGCTGGCAGCTACTACTGCCGCAAGGTTGAGGCCAAAGACGAGTTGCTGGAGGTCTTCGCAGCCTTTGATGACGCATGGACACGCCAACTGGATGGACTTTCTTTCGCTTTCTTAACAGTGGTTTCAGAGTAGATTGCACAAACCCCAAGATGTCCTTTAGATGGGGGTCCATATAACCCACCGACCTTGGGCATTTGCAATCTTCTCTCAAGCCACTATAATCACACGTGATGCAAGCCAAGTGATCCTTTGGACACGGGAACGGGTCCCGCTGTGAAGTGATCGTTGAACAGCAACGAGATGGACGAATGATATGCCCAGACTGGAAGATGTGCTGGTAGACGTCGTATCTTTTCCAGATTGAAGAGATGATCCCACTCATTGATGCAGATCTGGTCCAGAAGACTCAAAGACACATTAGGGCACACAGGGCCGAGAGCCCTCCTGGCCCCCTTTCCCCACCGCTTAAGACGACACCAACAAGTCAGATCCACACTTCTCAGATCGTGGCAGATCGAAAACACCCAACCGCCCATATCCCACACGTTTTGTAAATATGTGCATTGTCGTCAATGTAGAGCTCTGCTAGCTTGGTCAACTATCATCACAATGAGTTGGTCCAAAGATGAGGCAGCGGTTTTCTTTTTTTGGTGGGAGCCACCCTAGATTGAGACGCACGTCCCTATTGTTCAGGGGTCGTTGTTGATTTCTACTGGGGCACGACCCGCACTGACGGAGCTTGGGCTTGCGCATGCCGGCCAGCCCGAATGCGGCGAAGCTGGACCCAGAAAACAGAGGCGAACCACTGACTATCCCCAAAAGCAAACCGCCTTGGTTAAATCAACCTGGTGCAAGCCAAACAAAAGCAACCAAAAGCAATACATTCAGATCGCCTGGTTCCCAAATTTCCAAACGCCTTTGTTGAACAGAACAAGCAACCTGCCAGATCGGGTCACTCCATTCTTTACGTCTGGTCACCTCCTCAGGGTCACCGAGGACAAGGACAGCTGGTCGAAGTTGACCAGATCTTTCCCCGTCGATCGTCGCCGGCTTCGTTACCGCCCCAAAGACCGCCCGCTTCTCGGGCCGATTGAGATGCGCCAAGGGCCAGCTGCGCAGCGAAGGGAAGACTCCTGAGGACCAGGGAAGACTGGGTGGAGGCCATCGCTACTAGGAACAAGGACGCTATGAACGGAACAAAGGGCATCGCTACGAACGGAGCAAGGACGCTACGAATGGGGCGCTCCAGGCCTTACTAGAAGACCCCTGAGGACCAGGGAAGTCATGTAGGTGGCGGCTACATGGAAAGTGCCAAGGGCAAGGTGCCGTGACCCATTCTTTGATCTACTCCCATGTTCTTTTTGGCAAGAAGGTGCGGGCTCTAGTTCGCTAGCACTCAGGTGATTGAGTTGAAGCCACACTTCTATGACCTTTGAACAGATTAAGCATGATTATTAGACCAAACATCTTCAACCAGCATGTTTCACCTTTCTAATGTGGTACGATACCCTCCGACTCACGAACATATGCTTGTGGAAAACCAGGAACATGGCATCTGGATCATCTGGACCATCGTTTGTGAGTCAAAGTGTATCCCTTTGCTGGTCCCAGACATCGGCCATGTATTGCCCAGTTCTCGAGTCCAAGAGTGATCCTCACCAGTAACAGTCCTTTGGATCAAGGCCCGAAGTTCTGAAAACACCTTCACTCTGGAACCTGGCACTCTGGATGTGGGAATGAAACCTGCCACTAATCACCAAATGAGTGTGTGCCTGTTTGGGGTCCCTGTTGAGCCGTAAGCGGCCACCAACCCTTTGGGGTGGGGTGAAAATCACAGGAGGACGTGCGCGGCGGGTGGATCTTGGAAGAATGGTTCAGCGGCTGGGAAGTGGATGTGGACGGCTGGGCGAAGGAGAGTGAAGGGTGGACGATTGCGGACGAGGGTGGACCAAGAAGGAGAGAAGATTGAAACGTTCTCGTTGACTGTGCGAAGCAGGCTGGAGTACTTCCAGACTCCTGTGCAAGTGTGACCAGATTGAATCCAACCTGAAGCATTTATCGAGATCAATGCAGCTGAGAGCAGTCAGAGTGTGACTTTAGTAACTTTAGTGAAGCCCATCATGCAGGATGGACAAGTGGAATGGATGTTGGTTTCCGACAACAAGCCGCTGCAAAGCCATGCTTGCTGTGAGATGGGTGGTGTGAGCTTTGGCGGCATGTCGACGCACGGGACTGACTGACGATGACTGACGTGTGTCTACCACGAACCCAAACCAGCGCCTTTTCGTGTGGCTACTGAGTTGGTTCTGTTTTTATTCACGAACCAAACATACACCATCCATCGATGGTCCCCAAGACCGGCCGGATTGGGACGGCGAGGAACGGACGTTGGACGGTCCCACAAAGGCTGGCCCCCCCCCCCCGGTCGGACGGCGCGAAGCGGTGGCGTGTGCAGATTTCGGCCGACCGACCGGGAAGGCACGCGAAACCGGAAGGGGCACAGCATGTTTTTTTTGGAAGACCCTCGAAGTAGGTGTGAGTGGTACCCGGTCGGACCGGGTCGTCTCCTCATTTTGGACCAAACCACCCAAGTGGTCAGATTTGATTGATTTGTTCATCATATCTGAGCTGCCCGTGCATGTCTCATGATGTGCATGTCTCCTTCTGCGTTTTCCTTCCCTCCGGAGGTGCCCTCTTTGGGTGAATCTCGGACTCCTGCAAGCTTCCCCAGGTATCCGTCCCAGCTTCCGGAGCACTTGCAGGAGCTGCTGCGAGAACTCACGCGCCAGGTGGATGCGGGGATGCGGTGAAGCCTGGATTTTGGGCCATGCTGGAGAGTGCGATTTTGTTAGTTTTTGCCTTTCTCGGGCGATGTTTGACTGGGTAAGTGGGAGTTGTCCACTTTTTTGTCAACTTTTTTCAGGTCGTTTTGACATGTTTTTGATTTGCTTGTGCTGTAGTTCGGGTTCCTTTGCTTGCTCTTTTTCACCCAGGTTCACCACCCGAAAAATCGACCAGTTGCCGCGGTGGTCGTAGCCTGGCTTTCGGTTTCAGGTGGACCCAAAATCCCACGGATGGTCGACCCTTCGAGCCCGACGAGCCCGAAACGCGTGGTCTCCGAACGAGCCCGGCGTCACCCGGTACCGATCGCGGGTGACCGGTAGCGGGACCGATGGTTGAGTCGTATTGTAAAGCGCCTGGCAGCACTTGGATCGCATGTTCGACGCAAAAAGTCAGTCTGTGGATCCTCAAGGAGGGTTATTCACCTCAACTTCCGATGGGCTGGCAGGCCCAGGTTGGTGCAGAACCATTGAAAAGAAAAGACAGATCCGAGATAGGGTTCGTTTCTCGTTCTTCTTTACACTTTGAGCACTTTGCGCTTGTGGTGCGTTTTCAATCCGACTTGCTTTGGCTCCATAGCCTCCATACCCTACTGGGCTCAGGTGGTTCGTGCCAGCCCTGGCCTGCATTCAGTCTTCCATTTCGAGGCGCCCGGGGACCCTCCGGACCGAAGCAGATCGTTCGACTATATAAGGTTTCATGAACATTTAAACAATCAAATCCACTCCTTCACAGTTCACACCATTTCCACTTTGGCCTGTTGGTGTTGGATTGCATGGCCGAGATCTGATTCTGCTGCACCTTGGGCCAGCAGCTTCTGGAAGTCTGATAAAGGAGGCAACTGCTCAGGGCCCCTAAACACACAACAGAGATCTATTGCTGGAGTCTCAGTTGACCAGTGACACCAAATCTTTTTTAAAGTTGTAATGTCATACTGTAATGTCCAAACCAACCACCCAAAAGTGGGTTGAGTAAATTTGTCCAGACACTTGCTCCCCCCTTGCAACCAAGCCAGGCCTTGGTGAATCTGGAGACGCAGGAGCCTGCATGTTCTTCTTTTTCCCCGCCTGTCAGGTGAGGGTTGTTAGATTTTATGTCAGCTGCCTTCCTCCTCCTCCTCCTCGTTCGCCTGCGCCTTTGCGTCCTCGTCCTCCTCCTCCTACTCCTCCTCCTCCGCCTCGTCCTCAACCGCCAGCTTCGGACGGCAGTGTTCCCGCTGGATCTCAACTGCAGGTGCAGGATGGCAGCGTTCCCCGCAGGACCTCAACCGCCCGCTCCGGATGGCAGTGTTCCCCACTGGACCTCAACCGCGAGTTCTGCTTGACAGTGTTCCCCGAGCCCCGGCTGACCTTAAACGCCAGCTCTTTGTAGATTAGTATGACGTATGTGTTATCTGTGACTGTCTTGTTGGAGCGATCACTCGAAGTGCATCTGCTTGCAAGAATGTTGGTCACAGCTGGCAAGTGTGATTCTTTGTGCAAGCAGCTGTTTCTAAACAGGCTTGGGACACAGGCAACATCACACAGCAAGTATGTACATGTGTGAGCCTAGGCAAGCAGCATATGTGAGCATAGGCAACTGCAACTAGCAAAGTGTGGCACTCCACATCATCGGATAGTGAGCGAGCTAGGCAACATCATACAGTCAATATATGTCCCATTATACACTGCGGCAGCTGTTTGCCAGCACTTCAGAACACACAGGTGTGTGAGCGCAATCGGGCGACCTTCGGGCGAGATCGCTGTGCAGAGGCAGGATGTCACAGAATGCTGACAGGCGGCATGCCGACATGATTTGGCATGTTTTGCGTACTGAAAGCATTTGATCTCTGGCCCAGGCGTCCAGCTGATCTGTTTCTTTTCTGGTTGCAAGCCAAATGACAGATGCAATGAGATGAAGCCAGGATGTTTCACAATATCAACTTTTTGCTATAGAGCAGGCAAGTGTGACCTGATTATATGTGCATTACTTTCATGTTATAGTTATAGTGGACTGAAAGGTAATGGTGGGGATCTCTCGAAGTGAAGTAACTTTTTGCTGTTGTTTTTTCCGGTGTTGCCCAGGTTGAACCACGCATTGTTGCAATGCTCCAACATAGAGAAACCTCAACTTGGGTTTGTTTCAGTAGAGGTCGGTCCTCATTCTGAGACAGAGAGGTCGGCCAATTCAAAAGGCACTGATTTTGGTGGAGCGTCTTCTCACCAGGCGCCTGAACTGGAAAACGGCGCTTGCTCTGCCTTCAGAGTTTCCGATTGCATTTTTTTAAACATGTGCAAACAACATGAACAAGGAATTGCATGTTTTTTCTAAAATCATGTTTTACTTTGTTCATTCTACATGATGATGCCATGGTTTCATCTAACAAAAGCCCGCCTTCCGAGCGATTTGTCCCCCCACCATGGATTGTGGCCCTAGGAGGTGATGCCGGTGGAGCTGAACTTGCGCGTGGGCGGTGCGGAATGCCCTTGCTGTGTGGAGGTGGGTGATGGCTGGGTGGTGGCAAGCAAGCAAGTGGATTGGAAAAAGACTCCAAACTGTTTGAGTTGGTGGAGCCTGGTGTAAATCACAACAATTTTGGAGAGTTGCCAATCTTTTTGAAGGTGACAGGGTCACTTGCGGAGTTTTCCACACCGGCGATGCCTTCAATCCACACCAACCAAGCCACCCATTGCCTGCAGATTACCACCACATTTGGGTACACTCCCTGAAATAATCGAAGTGGATTGCATGGCCCCTTGGATGACCATGAAATCCACCACAAAAAATCCACCACAAACAGGTGGTTCTCCACTTTCATGATTATTTCAGAGAGTGTGTAATGATTCATGGTCCGTAAAACTTGTGTCTACCCTCTCGCGGCCCTTTTGGGAGGCTTGTCCTCCCACCCAGGATTCCAATCTAAACGCCATCACTACTCCTTTCGATCAAGGTAACAACCTTCACACTCCACTGGTTCCTGCTGACTTGTTGATTCATGGAGAGAGGTGTTGAGAGGTGAGAGTGCGCCACCCGCTTCAAGGGCATCACCTTCCTACTAGTAGCTAGGAGCTACGTTCGTAGCTTCTAGGTACCAGTAGTAATGCCCTTGTTACTAGTAGCGATGCACTTGTTACTAGTAGTCTTTTTTGCACCCCATCCATGACCAACGCCACCTGCGCCCAACACCCGGCCTCGGGTCTCTAGCGAGACCGGAGGCGGTGTCGGGCGTGTTTCTGCCGTTGATGGCTGCCCGCTTGGCAATTCCAAGCGTTCTGGACCAGAGCCCGGTTCAAGCGCTTGAAGCGCCACAGGTGGGATTGGACAGTGGGTGGTTGTGCTTTGTTTGGAGGGTGGAGTTGTGCGGGTTTTTGGGATATTTTGGGATGCCTGATTGGGAAGGGTGGAGGAAGAATCACACGTGGTGAGCTGACAAACTCTCCAAACAAGATCAGTAAACCAACTCGGCTTTGGGTGCTTGTAAGTCCATAGATGAATTGGCTGATAAGTATCACAACCACCTCAATGGCCAAAGCCAAGGGCTACTCATCCGGTGTTATGCCGGTCCTGAACGCACCCGAGAGCCTCCACTACCGGGTGGACACAGCGTTTTACATACGCCCACTCACTGGAGAATGAATCTCACCAGAATGCCAGGTGCAGGTGGCGGCTTCCACCAATGAAGCTCGGTGAAGTCTCAGGCCCTTTCTTTACTCAGTTGACGAAAGACATGGAGGTCAAAAGAGAGCAACATGGGGAGTTGTACAGTCCATCCTGTGAGGGGACGGCCGTGTTTCGTGGCGCTGGACAACAATGCGCCAGCGTCGTTAGGGAGGACATTTCGGGGAGGTCGATCTGTCCCAGACACGACCTGTCTGGGATTGGCAGTCCTGACTCCCGATCAGTTGGGGTGGTTTCAGGGGTCAATGTGCACATATTCCAGTTCCATTGGTCGTGTCTGGGTGTGTGGTTTGTCCATTCTTCGCAGTCCCAACTTGAAAAACATCTACCAGGTGTGGGGGTGTGGGGGTGTGGGGCTGCACCACTGGGGTCGCCATGAAGTCAAATGAACGTTCATGATGCGTGGGGCCAGACGACTCATCTCGTGCATCTTTTGGGACCCATATAGAGGCTTTGGAAAGACGCTGAGGCTGCCTTGACTGTTTATTGACCCCTACCTACCTACCTACCCAATTACCTACCCACCTTGACTGTTTATTGACCCGCTGTCTATGAAGTCATCCCTATTTGTTTGACCCCTACCCGTTTCAAACCTTTGCGTGCTTTTATGGTGCGGGGGACGTGCGGCGCCCTTTTGAGAACCGACCAGTGTCAAGAAGGAAGTCTTTGAGCAGAGACAGGGTCCGAAAAAGGAACTAAGACCAACACCGGGGTCAAAAAAGTAGACAAGAGAAAAGGGTGCCGCTTTTGGAACAAAACGGTGACCCTTTGGAAACCTGTGCGGGAACAGCGGCGACGCTGCATCACTCAAAATCAGGCAAACTCACAATCAGGCTGCATCACTCCATCCATAATCAAATGATGAATTCTTTATGAAAAAGTCTAGAGTTCTTTGTTCAGTTCGTTTGCATTTGTTTACCATCAAATTATTTTTCCAAAAGTCTAGACTCTTCGAGTCTTTAGCCTTTACATTGCATGCTTTTACATTCTTTTCTATCTTCTTGCGAGTCTTCTTGGATCCTTCCTGAGGAGTACGCCCAGCACAAGGGTGTGGTGGAGGCCTGCGAAGGCTCTGAGGACCGGCTGTGAATGGGAAATCTACACTCTACACAATCCAGATCTTACTGTAATATTGGTAATATGAGTCTTATTCAATCCAGCTTAATATCTGGTGTCTTCCCCCTTGATATGGTTGTGTAGTCAAAGACTACAGAGACCCCTTGTGGCTGTTGTGGTCCAACTTTTGCCTTTTACCACGGCTCATAGAGGGGGTCTCCCTAGTTGAACACGCGCCCATGCAGAAAACGCCCCCCCCGTGTCTGGAGGGGTAGCACTGTAGCATGCTTTTTTCACCCACAGATGGATTTAGAAAGATAACAGCCCCTTTGGGAACAGTCCATCGGTTCTTGGCCAACGTCTTTTCACCTTTCTGGTTGAGCTAAGAGTGTTATTTCGCACCAGTTTGGGCTTTAGTTCTTTGAATCTGAAGCCTCAGGGCCTTCACGACAATCTCCGGACTGACTCCTCCCACCATGAAGGTCAAGTCACCCTTCTCCGGGACTCGACCGCAGACAGAGAGTTCTTTTTTGGACTTCGCTTTTTTGGCATTCTGAACGAGTAGAACAAGAAGCTACTAGGGGCTCCTGGCATCGCTACTAGTAACAAGATCCCGAACGAAAAAGCGGAAGGTGTTTCTGGACCTTCCGACTCGTCAACCTTGACTCCACGATCCTTTCGGCCCTTCAGGAGTTGTATTCTGATCCCTCCTTCCTTGGCGCCGCCTTCTTTGCCACGAAGGAACCGACGGGTGGTGTGAGGGTGAGCGACGACGTGCAGCCCCCTGACCTTGTTCATCTCACCCTACGGGCCACCCCTGCCTCACAAATTGTGGGAGTGGGAGGTCAATCCATATTGGCTGTTCAACTGATCGGTTGGGTTGGGTGAACTCGATCTTGCTGAAGTCGACGAGTTTGTTTAGTGCATCACAATCGAATCACCTTATGGAACACACGAGCCCTACATGCATCTTTAGCCGCATTGTGTCATTAAAGACCATATACATATACACACGATATTCACTTGAGTTGTTGTATTGTTTCTGGTGAGAACCATCACACCATGTTTGCCTTCTTCCACAAGGTCTCTGTGCTCGACATCATACTCAAAAGTAGATCATGCAATGTGGTTGACACAAACATGTTCACCGCAGACACACGAAGAGCGTGAAAGCACGAACAGCGTCGTGGCCCCTCAAATGGGGATGGGTCAAAACCCGGAGCCCCAACACCACGTAGCTTGACCTTCTGGGTAGGTCAACCGAAATATCCCGGTTTTGACGCCAAATCAACCCCTCGCGTTTGCTTCGTTTGCAGGGCTCCAGCTACGAGCCCTTACGCGGCGCCATGAGCTGCCTTGCTTGGCTGGCTGCCGGCGGACGTCAGGGACACCCGGGACGGTGGTGGGACTGTGGTGGGAGATGACATGATTGCAGAGGGGTGGGCTTAAAGTATGACTTGTTTACATTTGCCTACAGATTGTATATATGTAGGTGAAAAGCCAGACTCACCTATACGTCAAGCATCTTTGGACAGTTTATGCAATCTTTGTTGTCACCCTTGATTGAGGTCAAAATAATATGCTGGCTGTGGCCTCCCTTTGTGGTAAGCTCCTTGCCCTCTCTTCCTTGTCCTTTTGTGCGGTCTTTCTTTTTTTTTGCTTGCCCTTCCTTCTCTTCCTTCCTTGCCTTTGTGCAAGATGCAGCATCTCTCTCTCTATATAGCTAGCTTGAGCTTGTAAGTTTGACATGTGATGCAACAAAAACCTAGCACCAGCCAAGACAGTGGTTCCCAAGCTAGCACGCCAAGAGAGGACAAGCCAGTCAGGGGTGCGCTTAGTGTCAGCGGCATATCCTCCAATAACCACTGATGCCATGGAAGCCTAAAGCAGGAAGACACAAAAGCTGCAGCTACTCAGCTACTGTTGATGGGAACCAAATATTCAACGCAGCGTCCGCCTTGTTTTTGGCCCGTGACGTCGTCGCTTGGGAATCAACCGAGCTTGGGGAGGCTTTCCAGCGGAACGACGTGGCGTAACAGTAGCTTCTTGTTTCTATCAGCTTCTTGCTCCTAGTAGTACGGCCAGGAGCCCCGTTCGTAGCATCCTTGCTCCGTTCGTAGCGACTTTGACGTGGCTTGCCGTTCTTTCCTCGGCCGATCAACTCATTCTTCCACGGCCGGAGAGAGCATCAGGGTGTCTTGGCCCAAGACGGATCCCCCGTCCAGCCCGTTGAGTCCAACACGAGGTCGGCGTCCTCCGGATTTGGGAAATAACAAGGCATGGTTGGAAACCCGAATCGTGCGGAGGAGAGAAACCATCACACTATAAGGCTTTAGGTCACTAGATACTGTTGGCTATCCACAACTTTGGAGATGTGGAGCACAAACAAACGAGATGTGGGATTCTTCCCCAAGCTAGATCAAGGAACAAACAGAGTATGCTTTTGTTTCCTTTCAAGTCCCAGACAAGCCCCCCTTAGGGTTTTAACAGGAGTGTGGCGGCCAACGAATGCTGTTGTTCCATGTTGTTCCATGTTGTTCCCTTTGAAGCCTTTCAAGCATGTGACTCACATGTGTATTGGAATAGGGAGACCAAAGTGTTTCTTTTCTTTCCTATTACCGTCCTGCGGGGATCTCCCTATTTCAATACGTATCCATGTGTTGAACATGGTGAACCGATTTACCGCCATCCATTTCCTTCCAGACCAGTCCCCCTGAATGCTGGTTCACTTGGTTCACCAGACTCAGTGGCGAACCATCCCGACCTGTCTCTTTCGCCACCAAGGGGATGCGAACGAGGCAGAGCAGAATCTGCGACCTGGCAGCTTAGGATGCCCGAGATGGCCGGAGAGGTCGTGTAGATGGCCTTAGGATTCTTCCACGTTCGATCGTCTACTTGAGGGCGGTAGACTATATGAACATGACTAGAACGAGTTTTTGCCGGGCACTGGGCAACACAGAATCGGAAGCACCACAAGGCCGCAAGGCACCACCATTAGTGCAGGGGGTAAATGGCTGAGCCCGTTGTTGCTTAGGTCCTTTTGGATGGTTGGTTCGAACGCATCCTTTTCTCATCCTGTAGTGAATCGAATGTGAACGGTCCAACACAGAACTGTGCTCGCCAGCCCTTTCGTTTCGGCGTGGGGGGCAAAGACCATGAACCACGGGATTAATGTGCATCAGTCATAACATACTGTAGACGATCCTGTTCAGGACCATTTTTGTTTTCTAATGTGCGATCTTTTGAGAACTCGGAACCAACCACTTGCCGTAGAAACTTCTTTCGACCACCAAGTTCGATACTTGCAGTGGTGATTGGTTGGCAGCAGAAGTCAATCACCCAAGCCCTATTGAAGTTCTTGCAAGAGTGAGATTCACCCGCCGTGCCGGTGCTGGGAATGAGAATGAAGGAATGAGCACCCAATAGAGATTCCTTTGGATCCTTCCCAGTGAAATCACATGAACACATAGAAAACACTCCGATGACACGTAGGGTTCCCAGTCCTTGTGGTGGATATCCCCACCGAAGTGGGACCGAAGGCTCCGGATATGAACCATTTATCTAACCCCCCGCAACCGCCCGTTTTCGCCTCTGGAGTGAGCGTTTGATGGTCAGAAAGGCTGGGAATGTCATCCACGAAAAGAGATGGAATTCGTGTCCACTCGGAGGAGCTCAACGATCGCATCCGAAGCCCCAAAGAAGGGCGGAAGTCACCTCCAAGGCAACGCTGCCTCTCCTTCTGCAGCTTGAAGGCCGGCGCCCGGTTTTTCGGAGCCGCGCCCAGCGCGGGCGGAGCGCTTGAGGGTCGCTGGCGCCATGTGGTGTGCATGTTCAAGTCTTGCAAGTTCATGTCTCTTTCTCAGCATGATGAGGAAACTCTATAGTGTTTGATCCATCTGAGCTCAAAAATTGGTCAAATAAGCATGTGGCAACATAGTATGTGCCGATCATGGAAAGTGAGCGTGTATACTGTGATCCGTGACTGCCATGGTCAGCGTTCATGGGAGCTTTTCATTGGAAGTGCTTGGCCTTTGCTTCTTTGCTAACCTTGGATGCCCTCTTCGTGGAAGTGCCACCTATTGAGCACTTGGACGTGTGACAGCTGATTCACTTAATATTGGGTGTGCGTGCCCAATTGCACTGGCACCCATTTTCCGATCATATCCTATGAGTCCGGGACCACGCACACACACACACACTGAAAAAGGCCATTGGCGCGACTCGTGTCTTTCTTCCAGCCTTTAGTTTTGAGAGGTCAGAACCAATCAAGGTGTCCTGATGCCAGGACCCACGGCCGCAGAGAGTCTTCGAGTCTTTTTGGTCCCCTTCCCGGCGTCAACGCAGGCCTTCACGAATCTCAAGAACCCAGGCGACTTTAAAACTGTGGTGCGCGTCCTCTCTTTGAAGGTCTCACGATAAAATAGCGGCCTTGGAGTAGATCGATGTGGACAAAAAGCAGAACGCCGATTTTGCCAGACCCTGGCAACGCGTGAGTCAGACACGCGACCATCGACCGATTTCCTTCTGTTTCACACATGTCTGTTTTCATCTTCTTTCACAGACATGTCTGTTTTCTCAGGTCTGTTTTCTTCTTTCATTTCCCTCTGTTTCACACATGATGAGGGTTTGGTCTCCAGGTTTGGTCAAACGTCTCTTGCCCTCTTCACTCTGGCAGGTGCTGCCTGTCTCTGAGCCAGCCAGTGAAATGACGTGAGCTGGGTGCAAAACAAAGCGTTTGGGCGATGATTGGAACATCTGGGATGGGATGGTTGGTTTCATGGCCCTAACGCAAGCCACGGGTGAGGTTGGATGATGATTTTCATCAGCTGCATTTAGAGTTGCTATCTTCATTAGACTTGAGGGACTTGGAAAGTGCTGAATGTGGATTCAACTCTCTTTGGGAAACCCCTTTGCAAGGTTTTAATGGAATCTGTTTTCATCCTTGATCCATTGGCGCTAGTTCTCGCAGAGCTTTAGGGATAGCAAGTGCGTCATCCTGGGGTGGGACATGGCAAGTTTAAGTGGAGTAGATAGGACATTGCCCATTAAAGGAATGTGAGAGCATTCGTCCTGTGGTTTGGTTGTCTCATTGTGTTCTATCTGCTTTTCCGCATGACTACTCACAAGGTGCACCTCACGATTTCTGACTCCACGATACTTGCAGCATGAATTGGACATGACGTCTCTCTTGTCATGGAAGGTAGCCTGGTAAGGGCTAGCCTGAGTTTGCTTTGCGAAGGGGTTTAGGGTTTAGGGTTTAGGGTTTAGGGTTCAGGGTTTAGGGTTTAGGGTTTAGGGTGTCGATTGCTAGTGTTTTGGTGCCTCTCTTTTCGGGGTGCCTATCGATACTTTTTTAACGGCACCCCTCCTCTCAAATTGACACCAAAACACGCCAGGCTAGACTTAGGGTTACCCAGCCTAGAGCCGCCCAGACCTAAAGCTTTTAGGGTTTAGGGTTATCAACCCCCCTACCCCCCACTCTTGGGGGGTTTTGATGAGCAGGGAACACAAGAAGAGGCATGCAAGCATGGAACAGAAACATGTAGGGGCCAAGTCTACCCGCCAGTGGGGGTGAAAGCTTCCAATCATTAGCATGCTGCTAAAGTTGATTAATACTTGACCAAGGTCGAGCCAAGACCCACCAAAGGATGCGTGACCCCACAAGCACGAGGTGTGGAAATCGTCAAGACTTGGAGTGTCCAAGGGCGGGGGCCTGGCAAACCTGGAGTTTGCAAGCTAGGAGACCGAGGTTCGGAAGCCGCGTATCGACGAAGAAACGCGTGAAAAATAGAAAACCTTTTTGGGGCCCTCCGGGGCCCCGATGGAAACGCTCTCCGAGTAAACAAAATGCTGCTCGTTTTTTGGGCAGCAATTTTGGGGAGCCTACGACGACGACGACGACGACGACCCCGGGCAGCGCACTAACCCGCCAAAGCCGGGTCCCAAGCCCCGGGACCCCGTCGACCAGGCGACGGGGGAAGAGGGAGGGGTGCGCTGCCGTCCGGCCCGGGGCCCGAGACGGAGGCGCGGAGAAGCACTGAAAGGTTGATTGAGGAAAATTGACACCCCCAAAAACCCCCTCGACAGGAAAATCGACACCCCCCAAAACCCCCTCGACAGGTATGGAAAGGGCATCACCCACGGACGTAAGACATTGCAAGGCGTGCGCCCGGTGGAAGCTTTTAGTGGTGTATGTGTGTGTCGGTTTTTTTTCCAATTTTGGCAGCAGGGCTCGTATAGGCCTCCCACCAAATAATTGCAATTGTTTTCTAAGATACCACCCCAACAGTACACAGTTTGGGAAACAGATACAAGCTCGAGAGGGCGGGTTTTTTGGAAGCTCACAATGGGCCTGCAACGCAGGCTTTTGGAAAAGTTCCCCAACACGACCATGATGGCGGTAACGCGGCGTGGAACACAGACTCTGAACGAGCTGGCGGTGGCAGCACTTTTCAATGAATGCGAGGCAGTCTGCACTTTGAAGGGTGACCTGGAGTCAAACCCTGCCAACTACGACGACACAGGACACTTGAAACCCGCCCGGGCTTGTGTGCCATTGGAAGTGCCGTGCTATGTCGGCATGAAGCTGTACATCACCAAAAATGTAAACAAAGCCCGGGATTACATCAACGGCATGCGCTGTACCCTGGAACACTATGACCGGGCTTGCAAGGCTTTGATAGTGATGACAGAAACTAACCACCGCCTGACAATCAGACCATGGACAGACGTTGCTTTCCAGCAGGCATTTTGCCCAGTGCGACCCGGATACGCGTCCACAGTGTTGAAGATGGCTGGAACGGAGCTACCGCATGCAGTGCTGTGGCTCGACTAGCCGCATGTCCCAGCAGCAGCGTACCCAGGAATGAGTAGGGTTGTATATGGCTCCCAGCTGTTCCTGGGGGGCAACCTCAACCCCGACCATTTCACCCCCGCTCGACCGTAAGACATAGCGGGCGCGCGTCGTGTCAGCAGAAACAAGAAACGATGTACGCGCATGAAAGCTGAGACGCATGATTTCTGCACGACCGCACCACAGGAGCGATGCCCTAGCCACTTTTCTGTGCATGAATGGCTCACAGCAGAGAGGTGCCCGCGCCACGGCCAGGCGCCGCGACAGGGGGGCGCACCAAGGAACAGTAGAGCTTGTCGCGCCCTGAGTGGTGGAATTGGAGACTTTGTCCGGCACTGGTAGTGAAGACCCTTGCGTAACGTGTTGCGGCCAGGTGAAGCTCGTGGTCGACGCGGTGGCGGACGTCTTCTTCGCCGTCGGCTTCGAGGCGCGGTAACCCACCAAAGCCCGGTCCCAAGTCCGGGGACTCTCCTGGTCACACGGCACCTGCCGGCGTGACAGGGAGAGGAAGTGTGAGGGGCGCGCCCAGGCTTCGAAACCTTCAAAACCTAGAGTTTCAAGGTTTGAAACGTTGCAAATCTAAAGGTTTTAGGTTTGGAACCTTGAAAACCTGGAGTTTCCAGCTTTGAAGCCTTGAAACCTTGGAATGTCCAGGTTTGGATCCTTGAAAACCTAGAATTTCAAGGTTTGAAGCCTTGAAACCTTGGAACGTCCAGGTTTGGAAA